TCACTCATTGATCCGATTGAGGTGTGCCATATATTGTTGGAAAGATATATGTGTCTACTACACCTTTGTAGTTTATGTTCAGACTTGATTTTACCTCCATAATGCTCAAAACAATGAGTTTATGTATCTGGTCCTGTACAAAAACGGGATTTGCATGCTGTCTTTAGAAAATTCATATAAAATAGATTTTTGCTCCAAATGGAATGAATCCAAATCTACTGGAACCCTAAGTAATCGGCCTACAACTTTTGTTTAGACATTAACACCTGATTGCATCTCTAAGTATGATAAAAATGATCAAAGTCAAGTTGGTTCAAAGTTGTCAGGTGCAGGGGATTTAGTAGCATTATTTTTGCTTGTACTTTGTGCTTTGAGGATGTAACATCCGTAGATCTTGTATCAATCAGTCACAATCATGTGTAACTTATTCAGGGCCAATCTTAGAATAAGATGGGGCATTAACAAGGGGATAGGAACTACGTGCTTACTTCATCGATTGTCGTCTAAGGTACGGATATCTGATTCTTGTGACTTTCCTTAATCACTAGTTCATTATAGAGGCAATATTGTATCTCATTACCATCTCGACATCTATCACTTGTATATAATTATAGTTTCATATCTTGTGAGATTACCCTTTTCACATTAAATTGATATGTTTTTGGTGATTTGAGCATTTTGTGCTTTAAGGCACGACATCGAGGGCAATGATGTCGCCTCCATGGCGGCTATAAATTGTCATGGCGTCCTCGCTATTATACCCCAATGTCAATAAGTTGGTCTGGCTTGGTACCGGCTAATTTGAGGGCGAATGGATCGATCTTAGAAACCGTTCTCGGGAGCCGTATTCGGGAACCATTTTCGGGAGCCGATTATTAGGGCTGTAAATGAACCGAACGAACACGAACGGAGGCTTGTTCATGTTCGTTCGTTTAACTTAACCGAACAAACGAACGAACACGAACGGTAAACGAACGAAAATCTTTGTGTTCATGTTCGTTCGTTTAGAAATAAGATGTGTTCGTGTTCGTTTATGTTCGTTCGTTAACATGCTAAAC